AAATTCGGACCACGGACGGGATTCGAACCCGCATCTTCTGCTTACCGGGCAGTTGCGGTAGAGGTCAAAAGTGGCCCCGGTAGCGTAATAGGGAACGCAACTGCCCGGTAAGCAGAAGATGCGGGTTCGAATCCCGTCCGTGGTCCGACTTTTGCCCACAACTCAGCATTCTTGTGATAACTTTCGGATCGCGCACTGCGGCGTTAAACAGCAGTTATCAAACAACAGCTTAAAATTTGATTAAATAATAAAATAATCAGCCTTCAAAGTAAGTTCATTAAGATGGACTTTGGAACAAAATACAATGAATTTCTTGAAAATCACATATTTTTATTTTATTGGAGGCGATCGGTCTGTCAATGCGATATCCTCATTTCTGGCTCTACCCCATCGAGTCCAACCACACGCCCACAATCAGCTTCCTCGTTTATGAGTACGGACCGAATATATGGCCCTTTTCGAATAGATAATTATCGTCGACCTATTCACTTCATCTTTGAGCCACAAGGAAGCGCAACTGCGTTCAAACTCTCGTAAAAAGTTACTTCAATACCATCCTCACGACGAGTGGGAAGCACTCTCGCTAATTGAGTTGTTGGAATGGAGAACTGAGAGCTAAGACTGATTTCTTGCATTCTCAGCATCCTCGAGTCCTTCCTCCGTCTAATCGGATCTGTTCACCTGCAAACTTCTCTGCAGAAAACTGCAAATTTCAAACAGAGTCTTGAAATTGATTTTGTGAAATCTACCGGCCAGTTGCTTCTGCAAAGGTGGTAAGTTCGGAGCATAGGGGAGAGGGGGCTGGTTTCACCGAAATCATTCGCAGTTAGGAAGGAATCTAGTCACTTTCTCTGCGATAATATGGGAGTATAAGAATTCGGTACTGATCTCTCCCTTTTGGAATGCGCCGTGCACTGCGCTTCTATTTGGCATCGTGCTAGCGCCTGAATGCGATTTTGAATTGAAGAGGGGTGGGGGGGTGCCTTAGCAGGGCCAGTCAATATAATAAAGCCATGGTCTTAACTCCAAGACAGACCATGGCAGCCTGGCGACGAATTAAACGAATGTTGAGGGGATGGAAAAAACATGCATAGATCTTAATACACTGCTGATGATGGCGTTTGCCGATTGGGGACAGGTTTAGCGCAGCACCTGCCCGCAACTTTACTTTTTTTACCTTCAGTACGCGACAGACAGGACTTATCATAGTATAAATTCGCGAGCCATTGTTTTCACAGTTGTTGGTCCTTACCGCTTCAAAGAACTGATGCAGGAAGAGACAGACGGCAAGCGAAACCCAGTCCACCGACACACACCTACATCCGCAGTGAGGAAGACTGTAGACTTACGGAAGGTACTCAAAAAATGAAGAAGAAATGGGGCTAGCGCCTACGCTACCTCCCCCCCCCCACCCCCGTGCATCCCCTCCATCATCCGCTGCAAACCAAACTGTATGCACTTCCTCCTGAAAAGAGTGTCACGGCCACCTGATATCTATCCACTCCTCCCAGAAGGATCGCACTACTATAGAGGACAGGCCATTTTGGCTGGTCATTAAGAGTTGATATTTGTAAGAGCGGTAATTTATGTTCGTGCGAGTTTTTACCTACTCCCCAGGGCTGTATAACATTCCCAGCTCGTTTCATTCGGATTATTGTTTGACTACATCTGCCTCCGTGGCAATAGCAGTGTATGAGTATCTCCCGCCGAACAAGCAATTTGGAAGATTCATAGAAATCCTTTCTGCAAAACTTTAGTCTACCGCAGGTGGAGATAGACTTTGATAAACTCAAAGGGACAGAAGGGCCAGAGGTCGGGTGAACTATTCACAAAAAACAGCATGACATCCGCTTCAGTCCCAGTTTCTTAAGTACTTTGCCTCCCTCAAGGGTAATAGCGGGATTCGCCTCTTCCTCATGAAAAGATAGCGCTTCATTGATCAGGGTACCTACATAGTTGATTCCATGGCAAGGGCAAACTACGTAGGTACCTTGCGCGACATTCAATCGAAAGCACTGGTTCAGGCGGCACGTCTGTGTGCGGAAAATTAGCAATAATAATATATCTACTTCCCCTTACCAGCCTACACGATACTGAATTCCTCCATCTTCATACATTTCCGGAGCTCTTTTCCCAAAATTCAGTTTTTCCTCCGAGGAACCGCCGTCGAGTAGGCGGAGGAATAGTGCGCGCGAATTGGGAAAAACTAGGAAAACTCAACAATCGATAACATTTTTTACCAAGGCAAATACGCTCTCCTGCCTACAACTGAGTAAGACCCACTTGCTGAAGGTCCCCAACGTACGAGGTGTTCTGCATGGGTTACCCCTGCCCTTCATTGTGAGCACGTATCTGAGGGAGTCACCCAACGCTCATTTCAACAGCTCTACCTTTCCGAGTAGATACATTGAAAACTGGAATCTTCGTTTTCAAGGGCTCTGGTGTTCTGGTTGAGGTTCCGTTCAGGGGAAAAGCCTTCCCTTTCTCCATTTGAGGCTCGAAAATTCATTTTTTTTCTTGGAGAACAATAACCAGTCGATTCTTATATTTCAGAAGGAACTGAAAGAATACGAGCACCGTCTACCGCTCTCATCTATCACCCATTTCTCAATTGATGGCGATGTTCTCATCACACATATCCACTGGGGAGGAAAATACTACGTAAGCAACGTCAAATATGATTTTTCAAGCAAAATATGATTGATTGTGATTTATAGCCTGTTCCATACGAGAGTGGACTGGCTGGAGAAGGCCTTTCTCCAGGAAAAAGCCTCTACTTGTACGGAATGCCGGAGAAGAAAGGAAAGCGATTCCACATTAACATTCTCAAGAAGAACGGCGACATTGCTCTTCACTTCAATCCGAGATTCGACGAGAAGGTACCCGTTTTTTTAAATATTTCCGGGTCAAAAGGTCCAATGAGCTGTTTGCAGGCAGTGGTACGTAACTCGTTGATCAGCAATGAATGGGGTAATGAAGAACGTGAGGGCAAGATGCCCTTCGAAAAGGCGGTTGGATTTGATCTCGAAATCAAGAACGAGGACTACGCCTTCCAGGTGAGTCGCCGCCCACTTTCCATCTTTTTCTCTTCCCCTCTAGGACCCCTGACGGTCTCTTTTATAGATCATGGTGAATGGCGAGCGATTCGCCTCGTACGCTCATCGACTTGAACCACATGAACTGAATGGACTTCAAATTGGTGGCGATGTCGAGATCACTGGAATTCAACTCCACTAAACAAAAAAGCTAAACAGAGCTAGCTCCTGGCTGCCCCGTTCGCCCGCATTCTAAGCACCTCCTCCCTAGAGCATACCGTATTCAAGCCATTCTCCCTGCCTAATCGTCGCTTGCGAGCTATTTTGATAGAAATCTTCGTTGTCGTGCTCTTCACTACCATCCTTCTTCAACCAGTCTCTCTATGTTGTTCTCCAAAGTAACCATTTCCGACCTTCCGCCCCCCATATTCTATTTCGTTTGTGTTTTGCGCGCTTTGAGATCGTCTGCGTTCTGTTTTTTGTTTATAAATCTTAATTACTACGTGATGTCTTCTGTATATCGACGGTATGGGAGTGGTCTCCCTCCGGCCCCAAGGGAGTGGTCTCCCTGAAAAAGTGTAAGCGTCTTACGGAGAAGCCTAGGAAAGACCTTGAATTAGAAAGGTAACTCATAAAATCCGAGGCTTGTAATGACGCGCTAATCAGCTTACTCTAGCTGGTTGACTCAACCCTGCAGATGGCTCGGGTCGCGGCAGCTTACGACCAGGAGGCGGTCAGGATGTTCGCACTGTGCTGATCGCGCGGCGACGGGTGCGGCGTTTTCTTCATTTGTGTTAATCTTTCGAATTGGAGGACCGGGTTTTATGAGGAGCGGACGGTGCAAGAGGATTCATGGCCTAGGCTGCGTTCATACTTTGCGCCAGCGTCCATTAGCGTCTACCAGCGTTCCGAGCGTCCGGCAGCGTCAGCGACTAGGAAAGTATAGATATCGATCTAGCGTTGCCAGCGTCCGCCAGCGTCTCGAGGGCTAGGGAAGTATAGGTATCGATCTAGCGTCTGCCAGCGTCCACCAGCGTTCACCAGCGACCGGAGTAGAGAGTATGGGGAAGTAGGAGGGTAGCAAACAGCTGGATTAGGCGTCGTGAAATTGCGGCGTGGTGCAACCGCACCGCACAACTGCTAAAGACAGAATTATGCAATTTACGATGTGGTGATTGTGGTAGCACACGCGCAATTTCACGACGCCTAATCCAGCTGTTTGCTACCCTCCTACTTCCCCATACTCTCTACTCCCGGTCGCTGGTGAACGCTGGTGGACGCTGGTAGACGCTGGCAGACGCTAGATCGATATCTATACTTTCCTAGTCGCTGACGCTGCCGGACGCTCGGAACGCTAGTGGTCGCTGGTGGACGCTGGTAGACGCTGGTGGACGCTGCCGCAAAGTATGAATGCGGCTTTAGTTGGCATGGGCGCGAGCCGGTTCGAGATTTCACAAAATCGCGCGCGTGGAATACGGCGGTACCATCACCACGCTCCCTCAGCCCCATTTGGTGGAGAACTACTAGCAAAGGAATATCGTTCAATTTTTGGCCGAATTTTCTAAATGGGACTCAAGCCAGTAGTGCAATTTTGAAAAGTTCAGTGACTTTGACAACTTTCGTCTTCACAATACCCATCTTCCCACTAAACTAATTATAATGAATGAAATATGCAGCAGGCGCTGAACGACGTAGATTTCACTGAGATGCGCCGTACACTTGCTTTCTTCCCGAATCTACA